ATACAGCTGTGCCAGACGACAGGGGGGACTTTCCAGAAGAGATGCAGGTGCTCCCAAATCAGTTTTGATTCAAACTACACACAATAGTAGACAACTGGTGGCACAATGAACTGCTGTAAGAGCAGCTCTCAGCCCACAGCTGTCCTGGCTGTCTGGCCTAAGGGCAGCTGCAAGCCAAGAGCTTGGACACCTGAGCCTGGGTGGTTCTGGACCTCACTGCAAGCCAGAGCAGGATCAGGCAGAGCAGATGCTCTGGGAACCACTGAGAAACCATAGGGGTTTATCAGGTCCAGGCCAAGGAGGTTCCCTGAGCTAGACCTGCAGATGCAGGTCCTGTCCAGCCCTGCCTCCTCGCTGTCAGCACAGCAGTTGCTGAACACCACATTTAAGTCCCATGGTAAGAGGTCCAGGTGACCTCTGGGCTGACCGACCTCCCCCCCAGAGCATGGAGCAGTACTGACCAGCAGGCCCTGGTCATCCAGGTTGGTGATCATGTCCACCAGGTAGGTCCGGAGGGCTCCCAGCTTGTGCAGAGCCTCTGTCCAGTGCACCTGCTGGGTCAGGATGCTCTGGTGTGCCCTCTCCTCCTCGGCATGCACCTTCTCCAGCAGCCGCTGCTCCTCGTTCTCGCAGGCCTTGCCCACGAAGAGCAGCCTCTGGATCACCAGCTCCCGCGCCGCGCTGGCCGCGCTCTGCCGGAGCGGGGACAGGAGCAACATCAGCCTGCCTGCAGCCCCAGCTGCTCCTGCCAGCTCTCTGTGGGCTCAGCCATCAACACTACTCTGCTAACTGAGCCCAGGCCACAGCAAATGTCGTGATGCAAGTGGGACAATCAGTCCCAAACCCACCTACAGCCTCCTGGCCTAACTGTGACAACCTGTGAGGGACCAGAGTTCTGTCCCTGGAGCTGGGACTGCTCAGCCTGGAAAAGAAAGGGCTCTGGGAAAACCTTAGAGCCCCTTCCAGTGCCTAAAGAGGCTCCAAGAGAGCAGGAGAGGGGTTTTGGACAAGGGTCTGGAGGGACAGGACAAGGGGGCCCACTGCCAGAGGGCAGGGATAGATGGGATACTGGGAAGGAGTTCTCCCCTGTGAGGATGGGCAGGCCCTGGCACAGGTTGCCCAGGGAAGCTGTGGCTGCCCCTGGATAACTGGAAGTGTCCAAGGCCAGGTTGGACAGGGCTTGGAGCAACCTGGGCTAGTGGAAGGTGTCCCTGTCCATGGCAGGGGGTGGGAACAAGATGGTCTTTAAAGCCTTTCCAACCCAAACCACTCAGTGATTTTATGATTCTATAACTGTCCTTTGCCCTCATCCTCAGTGACAGCAAGGAACAAATAAAACCAGGAATTGCTAAGACACTGGTCCTAGTGGAATGTTTAAATGCTGTACACTGACACCAAGAAATGTACTGTCCTTGTACATTTTTTAGGCAGGTGAGGCAGCAATCACAGGCACACCCTAGAACTCCACTTCCACAGCTGTGGGGTGGGACAATCCCCGCACACTGATGAGCCCCATCTCCAATGGGAACGGTGAGCACACAGGGCCAGCTGTGCCAGGAGAGGGGCAGGGACCCACCAGGACAGCCTGGTCCTTGGCAGGGGCAGGGACTCACCAGGACAGCCTGGTCCTTGGCAGGCAGCACCTCGTCCACGTGCCGGGCGATGGCCGCGCTCTGCAGCTGGATCTGCTCACACCGGTCCACGAGCTTGTCCTGGGACACGGAACAGCAGGTGATGGACACGGGCCTGGACAGGGCCACAGCACCCCGAGCCCCCCATCAGCCTGACCCCACAAGGCCCCACAGCTGTCAGGGTCCTTCTGCACCACCCCACAGTGAGCCCCTTCCCCACAGGGGACCCCCTACACAGCCCCACAGAGAGCCTTCCCCTCCCATGGCCTCACATCCCATCAGGGTCCCCCACACCTGCCCAAGGACCCCCAGGCATCCCCATACTCTGTCTGGGACCCAACACTCCACCAGGGACCCCAGGCACCCACACCCCGCCAAGGACCCCCAGGGTCCCACATCCCCTCCACATCCCACATCCTACCAGTCCCGTCTGGGACCCCCACACTCCATCAGGGGTCCCCGCAGCCCCACACCCCGCCAGGGCCCCAAAATCCCCCCTAGGACTCCCACGGCTCACCAAGGATCCCCAGGGTCTCACTCCCTCCAGGGACACTCACACTCCCCCACGGACCCACACCCCGTCCAGGACCCCCACACCCCCCAGAGATCCCCAGGATCCCACAAACTCCCCAGGACCCCACACCCCTGCAGGGACCCCTGCGGCCCCACTCCCCCCAGGGGACGCCTCCACTCCCTCACGGACCCACGGCCGGGACCCCCAGAACCTCCCAGGGACTCCCACTTTCCCCTCAGGAACCCTCACGCCCCGCCGGAACTCCCCAGTCCCACACGCGGCCCCTCTCCCCGCCCCGCCCGGCCCGGGGCTCCCCTCAGCGCCGGCGAGCCCCGGGCCGGGATCGGGGCCGGGATCGGGGTCAGGGTCAGGGTCGGGGTCGGGGTTAGGTCGGGCCGGGTCCCCCCACTCACCCGCAGCCGCTCCGGCCCGCCCCGCCGGGCCATGCTGTGCCCGCACCTGCCGCGGGGGCGGCGGCCCCGCCCGGCCGGCTCGGCTCGGCCCCGCCCCGGGCGGGACTCGGCGGGACCGGCCCCGGGAGGGACACGGCGGGACCGGCCCCGGGAGGGACAGCGGGACCGGCCCCGGGAGGGACAGCGGGACGGGGCTGCTCCGGACACGGTGAGTGCGCCGAGGGGCCCCGGGCTGGGCCGGGGGGCTGCCCCAGCCACAGGGACACGGATTGTTCCCGAACCCTTCCCAGGAGCTGTGCCCGCCTTGCCCCTGTCAGGCTGCCCCATATCGCATCTGTGGGGCCGCCCCAGCGCAGGGACCCGGGATGCCCCCATGGACCCCTACAGGGCCACTCCCATCACAGGGAGCCAGGATGACCCCACTGACTGCCCAGGGGGTCACCCCCATCCATAGGGAGCTGGAATGCCCCACTGACCATCCCACAGGTCACCCCATCACCAGGAACCCGGGATACCCCTCTTAACACCCCACAGGGCCACCCCCATCCCTAGGGACCTGTGATGACCCCACAGGGCCACCTCCATCACAGGGACCGGGGATGGCCCCATTGACACCCCACAAGGCCACCCCCATCCATAGGGACTCAGGATACCTCCAGTGATTCCCCACAGGGCCACCCCTATCCATAGGGACCCAGGATGTCCCCACTGACCCCCACAGGGCCACTCCATCCCTAGGGACCCAGGAGGCCCCCAGTGATCCCCCGTGGGGACACTCCCAGCACAGGGACCTGCAGCGCTGCCACAGGGTCACCCCCAGCTCTAGGGGCCAGGATGTCATCCCATCCTCCACAAAGATGGTCAAACACCCTCCTCGAAGGGTGATAAGGATGTGGGAAGCTCTGCTGGGGTCCCCCTGCCCACTGCTGTGGCTGTTGTCATTCCCTATCCCATGGTAAGGATTTCCTGGCAGAGCTTGGACAGGTGGAGGCAGTAGTATGGGTTATTTTTTGAAAGCAATTTAGTAAAAAATGCATTTGATTTCTGTCAAGTGATATATTTAAGGCAGAAGGGAAAATAAGGAGATCCTCTAGCGTGAAAATCAGTCTGCTGGAGGTGACACTTTGTGTCCACTTGCTGCTGGATCCCTGTGTTATTAGAGCTTTGTGATGGAGCAGGTGGATGATAAACATGTTAGGATGCAGATAACAAAACCTTGGATGAAAATCCTGCCTGATGTTCACTCAGCATTCAGAAGATGCTCTTTCTTGCAGTGGGGAAGAGGCAGGAGAGCACAGTGAGACACAGGACAGAGTTCCTCCTTCCCTGCAGCCTCGTGGAGCCACCAGCAGCTTCTCTGCATCCTCCCTTGGAGCTCTTGTGCAGGTAGGGACTGCACTAACCACTGGAGTGGGGAAACTAACTAGGAAACAGGAACATCATAGTTAAAAATCAGAATTTCTGTCTTGGCTTTTCCCAGAATCTTGTTTTGCAGGAGAAACAACATCCAGACTTCTCCCATGTCAAAGAAAAATCGTGTTCCTAATGTGCTGAAACAATCAGGGTCTGATTGAAAGGAGTAAATTGCCAAATTGTCAGGGCCCCTCAGCCGTGAGATTGATCATTCCTCACATCTTTGGGACATGCAAACTCATGGACAGAGCAGGTGGCGATTAACTGGGTATTACTAATTGCTAATCACAAGGGCTGTCAGGGTAAAATTAGAAAGGGGATTGTTTTGTAGAAACCCAGCCCCTCTTGCTCAGTGCTTCCAGGATTTGGTTCTCCAGTTTCTGTGGGCAGGGCCTTCCAGCAGGTTTTTTTCATTGCTGGAAAAGGTGTGGGGTGTTTTTTCCTGGATTTTATTAGTGAAGTACTACAGCCCCAGAAGATGGGAATGCCAACATACACATAGTGCTGGGCAAATCCAATTAGTGTGCCTTGAGCTAAGCAGCAGCCAGTTATTGTCTGTGACAATTCACTGTCACTGAGACTGGTTTGTGCTCAGTCTGTGACCTGTGAGGACATGAGGGAGAGATGCTGAGCCCTGCTCTGCCAGAGGCTCCTCACCTGGATCTGTGGGAGTCCAGACCAGGTAATGGAGTAAGAGGAAAGTGTAAAGCACTAGAACAATGACAGGCAGCAGCTCCATCTCTGGTGTGGCCTCACCAAGCCTGGGTGTTTTTAAGCTCAGCATGAGGTTCCAAAACCTCCCCCTGCTGCTGACTCTGCTCTAAGCCAAAGGTTTGGCTCAGGACCTCCTGATGTCCCCTCCTCTGAGGCTTTGCTGTCATTCTAAGTGAGGTTGGGATGTAAATAATGTGTTACCAGCACCTTACCCTGTGTGTGTAACAGGCAGAACCCCCCCTGGATCCCTGATGATGCTGTGTCCCCTCTCCCACAGGTGCCTGTGGTGCCTGAGGTGCTGATGTGACACCCCATGGTGGGGACCCTGCCCGTTGGAGGGCTATGGGGAAGCTGCAGAGTAAACTCAGCTCCCACACCATCACATACAGGTAAAGCAGCGCTGGGTGATCCTGTCTTGTCAATGAACCAGGTGTGAGAGTGAGCAGAGAACACAAGTGGCCGGAGAACAGAGCAAGCACGTGGTTTCAGTTTCATTACTGAGTGTATGAATCGGGTTTTCACTTTTAACCCTCACTCCAAAAGTCTGCTCAGCTTCCTCGGGGGGCTGAAATCCCAAGTGTCACTCACAGGAGTGGCCATGCCCTGTGATGGCTGAGGCAGAACTCTGAAGGGGAACAGCTCCAGGAGTGGCTCTTTGGCCCAAATATCCAAACTGCTTCGCTGGCTCTTCAGAGACTGTCATTGCTTTTGTTGGCAAGATGAGATAATTCAGTGTCTGGCAGCAAGGGGAGGGATCTCAGCCTGGAGAGCAGCTGAGAGCATGGAGTGACACTGGGAGACTCACCCCGTGTGGCCAGGGAGGTGTCACAGCAAAGAGTCTGACCCATGTGAGTGACAGTGGGGGCTGATGGGATCAAAATCTCCCTTATTCTTTGCACTAGCACAGAGTGAGCAAACATACAAGTATTTGGCAGCTCGAGGGGTGGGGTAGGTCTGCTCCATCTCACCTGCTTTGCTCACAGCCTCTCTCAGGCTGTCCAAGGCAGGTGCTGCCACATCAGATGATGTCAGCAGTGCCATCTCCCAGACCTGGTGTCACGGGAATGGCACCCTGGCCTTGTGTCCCCCGCCCTGCAGCTGCCCCCTGTCTGTCCGTGCCGCAGGGCCGAGGGCTCCGTGGGACAGGCGGGATCCGTCGGCGCCTCTCGGCAGCACAGCCCCGCTCACACCGACGCCGTCTCCTCTGTGGCTGCCCTCAAACCAGACCTGTGTGTGTCAGGGGGCAGGGATAAGGTGAGGTACTCCTTGCCATGGTCCATGGACAGGAAAATAAATCAACAGGTTCAGAAATAAGGTTTAAATGTGAGCTTTGAACATTTCCCTGAAGTGTTCAGCTCTTCTGTGAACATTCTGTGAGAGTGTCAGTCCCTGGATTTAGAAAGAAAAGATGAGCTCGGAGTGAGGGCACACACTGAAGCACATGGAATCGAATTTTGTAACCTTTCCTGAGCTCAGATCACGTCAAGTGGTCTCACCCAGGTTTGGAATCACCAGCCCTTATGTTACCTGGCTCTAAAGGCAGCTGGACCCGCTGCAGGAGCTCAAAACCAGAGGAACCTGCTCCCTCCCCTGTGGGCTGTGCACAGTGTGAGAGCCTGCCTGCCCTGTGCCCTGCTGACCTGTCCTGCTCCCTGCAGAGTGTGGCTGTGTGCAGCTGGAGATCCGGGGCCGCCCTGCGCCGCTTCGTCGGGCACGAGCGCGAGGTCACCAAGGTGAGAGCGCCGGGGTCTCCTGCCAGCATTCCTGGGGAGTCAGGAATCATGGAGCACTGGTTTGGGCATCACACAGGGCTCCCTTTGCTCCACTAGAAAGAGGGACCAGAGTGTCCCCGGTATCTAACTGGGGCCAGTCAGACTTGATGACCTTAAAGGTCTTTTCCAACCTCGACAATTCAGGGTTCCCTGATCAGAACACATTAAGCCTTTCCCAGGGTCCCAAATGATACTTTGCTGTCCAGGGAAGCATCAATAAGAGGTGAATCCAGACTAAACAGGGCTGCAGGAGGTCTGGACATAGGCTTGTCTTCCCCTCCAGGAGACTGTGTAGCAAAGGCTCAGGATGAATTTGAGGTCAAGTTTTTGATTTGGAGACACCATTCACTTTTCTTTGGGTCTCATTCTGCTGGACTGGTTGTTATTCCACAGCCAGCCAATCCTGGGAACAGCAGGGCTTTAATTTCCCTTCTGGGATTGCGATGACAAAGCCCAGCACTCCCCTTGGAGAGCAGATATGCAGGGGTGTGTACCTGTGTGTGGGGTGTGGCCAGTGCACCCTGACCAGGGACAGCCCTGGGGGGTCCCCTGGGTTGTGGTACTGGAGGGACATTCACCTCAGTGCTCAGGGCAGCCAAGCACTGGGCTCATTTGGGTTTGTAAGGAAGCTTTTCCTATAAACTGAATGGTTTCTAAGACCGAGATCTGAGAGCCCCCACCCTCCATCCCACCCCCTGGCTCTGGAGGACGAGGGACAGAGTTTGGAGGTCAGGTTCTCCCCAGGCACATTCCTGCATGTTTTGGGCTGTGACAGGACAGCAGTGCTGTGTTGTCCCTGAGCAGAGCTGGGCTGGCTGGGAGGATAACCAGCTTGTCCCTGTTGTTCTTGGCAGGTCACCTCTGCCCTGGACTCCAGCAGAGTCTTCAGCGCGTCCCGGGACAAGACAGTGATGATGTGGGAGCTTCACGGGGCGTCAGGGCCCAGCCAGCACTTCCCAGGACATGAGCTGGTTGTGACTGGGCTGGCTGTGAGCCCAGGTGAGGGACAGCACAGCCCCAGTCCCCAGGGACAGACTGCCAACGCTTCTTGGCTTGGTTTTGGTGTTCCCTTGTGGTTGCAGATGCCTCCCAGCTGTGCACGGGCTCTCGAGACAACAGCGTGTGCAAGTGGGACACAGAGACTGGGGAGTGTCTGGGCAGGGCCACCATCTCCAGGAATCTGGTAGGAGCTGCTGCTTCCTCCACATCCCATCCTGGCACCTCACTGCCCACGTGGTTCTTTCACACACGAGGCTGTGGAGGGGGAATTTGCTGTGAGCTTGGTGCCAAAGGCAGCCCTGCAGGCCCTGCCCAGGCTGCCTTGACAACAGGCCCAGAAGCACAAAGGTACCAGGAGACGTGGCAGTTTATTAATGCTGAGCTGCCAGGAAGCACACAGAACCATGGAATCACTGAGGCTGGAAAAGCCCCCTAAGATCAGAGTCCCACCATTCCCCCAGCACTGCCAAGGCCACCCCTAACCCATGTCCCCAAGTGGCACATCTACACGTTTTTTAAATCCTTACAGGGATGGGGACTCCACCAGTGCCACGGGCAGCTGTGCCAGTGCCTGACCACCCTTTCTGTGAATAAATTTTCCCCAATATCCAAACTAAAGCTCCCCTGGCACAACTTTCCTCTCCTCCTGTCCCTTGTTCCCTGGGAGCAGAGCCCGACCCCTCCCGGCTCCCCGCTCCTGTCAGGGAGTTGCAGAGCCAGAAGGTCCCCCCTGAGCCTCCTTTTCTCCAGGCTGAGCCCCCCCAGCTCCCTCACTGTGCATTCCCTCCTGTAGCAGCCCAGCAGTGGAGCTGGTGTGGGTGCCCGTGGTATCCCTGTTCCCAGGGCTCTGTGTCCTGGTGAGCTGCTGGCACCTCCCTGCCTGAAACACCCCCAGTAACCCCACAGGGCCTGGGCCCAGGAGGGGAGCAGGAAACACCTTCATCCAACACTTCCAGCTCCCAACCCAGCACGAGGAGGGAGAGGGTGGGAGCTCAGTGGCTGTGCATCCACAGCAGACACAGCCTGGGCTGCACACAGAGGTGGCTCCTGCTCATCCTTCCCTGTCCACAGGTCACACACCTGTGCTGGGTTCCTGGGGAGCCTTATGTCATCCAGACCTCGGAGGATAAAACAACCAGGTGAGTCCTACGTGTGGCCACGGAGAAGGGAGTGACAGCCTGGGGCAGGGGGGTTTGGGGAAGATGCCAGCGCACAAGGAGGCTGTTCTTTGGTGGTTGTCATGACCAGCTGCTGGTGTGGCCAGAAGCCACTTCCCAGCTCACCTGGACCTTGGAGCGCAGTGCCAGGGGAGGACAGCCAGGGACACAGGGGCTGTGAGCAGCACGGGGTGGTGACTGCAGGGAAAGAGGAGACTTTGTGGAACAGAAAGCTCAGCTCAGCTGCTCTGGCTGGAGAGTGATCCGGGATGGATGAGAGCAGGGGTGGATTCGGCAGGCAGGAGGGGGCTGCCCCAGGAGGGGTGGCAGAAGGGCAGAGCGGGAGGGCACAGGGTGGAGGGGGAAACCCTTCGTGAGATGATGCCTCAGAGTGCCCTTCCCCTGCCCTGTTCCCTGCAGGATCTGGGACAGCCGGGAGCTGCAGGTGGCACACACGTTCCCAGCCAAGCAGCACATCCAGACGTGCTGTGACGTGAGCCAGGACGGGCGGTACTGCCTGAGCAGCAGCCAGGGGGGAGAGGCCACCGTGAGTGTGCTCAGCTCCTGCTCCTTCCTCCAGTGCCCCTGGGGCACAGCAGAGAGCAGCAGATCAGTGCTCCAGGGATCTGAGTGCTCCCACTGCACTGGATTTGTGCTGGTGTCAACCAGAGCTTAGTGCCTTCCTGCCTTGGCCTTTGGGAAGTTCTGCTCAGGGAATGTCAGAATATCGTCCTGAGTAAAGCACTGGGATTTTCCCCATCCTTGGAGGTGTTCAAGGCCAGGCTGGGTGAGGCTTGGAGCAACCTGGTCTAGTGGAAGGTGTCCCTGCCCGTGGCAGGGGGATGGAACTAGATGATTTTTAATGTCCCTCCCAACCCATTATTCTGTGGTGCTGCTGAGCAATGTTTACCTCTCTCCTGTGTGCCCCTGGGGATCTTTCCCAGATCCACGTTTCCCCCTCTGAAAATACAAGGCCTTGAAAGCAGGAACATGGTAAAGTCACTTGAAAAGGAAAAAAACCCCACAGTGTTCGATGATTAGGGAGGTCCAGTCAGTGTGAACCAATTTTGCAGTTTTTCCCTGGCTGCCTCACGACACAAACAGGGCTGTGCCAGTGTCTGAGTGACCCCAAACCTGGTTAGAGCCTTTAGCCACACATGGGCATTCTGTGTCTCCTAAACTGAGCTTAGAACTGAGCTTAGGATTGGCAGCTTCTCAGCCCTGTGTGTGAGGATCAAGGGGATGAGACTATCCCATCCCACCCCATCCCATCCCAGAGAGAGCAGGGCTGAGGATGGGACTGGGCTGGAGCCTCATTACCTGTCTGCAGCTCTGTGGGCAGGTGCTCAAATAGTCAGAAATCCCTTGGGATTTGGCATTCCCCAGGACTGTGAGCAGGAGCAGGGACAAAGGCAGTGGGCACTGAGGATTGGCAAGGAGCAATTCCCCCAGCCTGCTCTTCCCTCCTGTGTGTGAATCGCTCCCTGCCGGCCCCGGGCAGTGTCAGACCCGGCCCTGAGCTCTGCCTCTTCCCTCGCAGCTGTGGGACCTGCGGCAGACCCGGGGCCGGGTGTGCGAGTACAGGGGGCATTTCCAGACCACCACCTCGTGTGTTTTCCTGCCCCGGGGCCCAGCCCTCGCCCCCAGCGTGGCCACATCCTCCAGCGACAGCACAGTGAAGGTCTGGCACCGGGACACGGCAGGTAGGGGGGGCTCCTGCTGGGAGAACAAAACTTGTGTTTGTGCTTCCTTGTGCCTGTCTCCTGGTGGCGATGGGCGGGAGGAAGCCTGAAATCTCTGGAATTTACTCCGTTCCAGCTGCACGGCAGGGTGGAGACATCCCCTAGAGCAAACTCCGGGCTTCTGCTTGCCCTGCAGAGGAGGAGGTGGGTTGGGTGCATGTCAGAGGTGACAGGTGTCCTTCCTAAGCGAAGAGCAAGAATTATGAGATGGCTTTTAAAGATACAGCCAAGCTCAGCAATGAACAAATGATTAAAAAAAAAAAAACAAAACCCAGAGCATTTCAGAGATCCAGGTGAAGGAATGGTTGTGCTGGAGGACAGAGGGCTGCTCAGCCACTGCCCTCACTCTGGTTGCCCTCGTGAAGGGGAGTGGTGGGGTTAAAGCTGGTGCTGAGGGCTGAGCCCTCCCCTGAGCTGCACAAAGGCTGTTTACCTGCCAGCCCTGCCATAGCAGCAGGCTCTTGGTAACCCTTGTGCAGCAGCAGAGACCTCTTGGGAAACTGTTCAGGTTCAGAGCCCTGCATGGTATGCAGTCCAAGGCACCAGCATTAGACACTCCCCAGGGTTAAGCCCCTCTCCAAGTGCACTTATTTAAGATGGGTTGAAAATAGAAACCTGAGCATCTCCCACAGAGAAACCTGCTGTTTCACATCCCTGTTCATTTGCCCTTGTGCCTGAGCATGCCAAGGTGCAGCTTCGTGACTTCCCAGCTGGGTGACTCCACAGTGGGCAGCTGGGATCCAGCTGCTCTTGGAAGGGTGCAGGTCACCACAGGGCAGCTCTTTGCAGGTCTGTGCCAGGGGCAGCTCTGTTGACAGCTCAACATGGGGCTGTGTCTGCACAAACTCTGCCTCAGGGGGCTTTAATAACACACAGGAGGTGCTGGATATTGTCGATCTGATTTCCCTTTTTGGCTGCTCATCAAAACTGTGTGAGTGTAACACAGCCTTTAGGAAAACATATTCTGGGCTGGACGAAATTTGGGAGAAAAAGGCGTGTTGGGAATGGCTCCAGGCAAGCCCTGCAGCTCTGCCCGGGGGGTCTGTCTGTCCATCCAGCCCTGCTTCCTCCCCGGGGAAGGGGCAGAGCCTGACCCCGGGCTGGATCCCCGTCAGCCCCTCAGTGCCCAGATCAATGCTCAGATCCCTGCGGGCTGGACAGGGGGTGGGTCTCTCTTCCAGAGGGCACATCCCTTGGGATGGGAGGATGCGGGAGAGCGCGGGGAGCAGCTCAGGAGGGCAGAGCCGGGAGGTCGGTGTGGCGCTGCCTCATCTCCGTGTCCCCTCCGTTCCGTCCCCAGCCTGCCTGGCCACGCTGTCGCTGGAGGGCTCCGGCCCGCTGGCCTCGCTGGCCGCCTGTGACAGCTCCACGCTGCTCTGCGCCAGCGCCAACTCCGGCATCCACGTGCTGCGGGTGGGCGGCGGCGCCGAGCCGGCCCTGCGGGAGCTGGCGGCGTTCTGAGCCACCCCCCCTGCCACTCGCTGTACCCAGAGGGGATGGGACCCCCAGAGCCCCCCGACCGCGGGCACCAGGGATCCTGTGCCGGGGCAGGGGGGTTTCCTGGGGGCTTTGTGGGGAGCTGTCCAGGAGCAAAGCCAAACCCGGGGTGCATCCAGGCGTTTTCCTTACAAACCCTCCCTGCAGCGCGGGACGGGGCAGAGGGAGCAGACAAGCTGTGAGGAGCCACACTGGAGCACTTTAACTGGTGTCCAGGCTTGGACCAGAGGAGACTGTGATTAAATATTCTTCTGTGTTACTTGCTGGCCTCTTGTCCCCTGGTATTTTCCCTGGGAGGCACCAAGAGCTGGCACTGTGGTGCCTGAAGGGAGGAGAAAGCCCTCAACACCCTCAACACTCTGCTTGAAGAAAAGTAACTTAGGAGGGAGGTTGGGGTTTGGTTTTTTCCTTAAGACACCAATCTTCAACTGCACTGAGAGTGTTGGGAACAGAACTGTGCTCACCTTCCCACGGAACAAGGACAGCTGCTCTCCAGCTGAAAACAGGGAGAAGAATCATCTTCTCTTTTCTCTTGAAGGTTTTCATAGAACCACAGAATATCCTGAACTGGAGAGACCCACCAGGACCAGCCAGTCCAACCCCTGGCCCTGCACAGACATCCCAACAATCCCACCCTGGCCACTCAGAGCGTCGTCCAAACCCTCCTGGAGCTCTGGCAGCCTTGGGGCTGTGCCCACTGCCCTGGGGAGCCTGTTCAGTGCCAACCACCCTCTGGGGGAAGAACCTTTCCCTGAGATCCACCCTGAGCCTGCCCTGGCACAGCTCCAGCCATTCCCTGGGGGCTGTCCCTGCTCACAGAGATCGGAGCTGCCCCTCCTGAGGAACCTGCAGACCCCTGAGGTCTCCCCTCAGCCTCCCCTTCTCCAGGCTGCACGAACCCAGTGTCCTCACCTCTCCTCAGCTGTTTTTGACAACAGCAGACAGGAACCAAACTGTGTTTTGTGAAATTCCTGTCATTTCTCCATTCCTTAGTCAGACCCAGAGCCCAGGATGCTTATCCAAAATGTGTTTTGATTTTTCCAGGACAAAACATTTGCAAAACCTCAATTTAAAGAACAAACAAGAAGTAGGAAAGCTCCTCAGAGGGTAAGGTAGGACAAGACAATCCTACACTGAATGACCTTTGTATCACCTCAGGTGAGACACAGCAGAACTGGAACAGGAGATGCCCACAGGGATTTGCAACACCCAGTCCATGGGACAGCCCAAGGAGTGGGACACGAGGTGGTACAAGGGAAAGAAAAACCTCCCCGGCCTTGGGGGACATTTTGCACTCATATCCTGTGAGTGAATCCAAGGGGGATGCAGATCTCCATCCAGAGCCCCTCCTGCTGAGGCAGGGGAAGGGGGGCACCACCTCCCCCTCTGACAGCTCCTCTGTCTGCCCCCAAATGCAAACCCAGTCTGCAGTCAGACTCTGCCAAAGCCTCAGGAAACAGGAAGGTCAGAAGGGCAGGAACAGAGGCTGCACCTCCAACCCTGAGGTGCTCTGTGGGGACTGCAAGTGTTTAACACAGGCTGGAGGACACCTGGGAGCCTGGCTTGGGAGGGAAGGTGGAAGAACATGGATCATCTCCAAATTACAGCAGGGAGTGGTGTCTGCAGTATAAACCCAGTCCTAAAAGTGGTAAAACATCAGCCAAGAGCTGACTCCAACCAAGCCCTGGCCAACAGTGGTGCTTCAAACACACCTGACCCCCAGAGCAGCCGTGACTGCAGCTGCTGGGCTGGACACATGTCGGAACTGCTGATTCCTGGGGGGATTTTTAATATAAAAAAAACCAATTGCAAACCATTAACCCAGTTCATAACCAGCCCTTCTGAGCTACTCAGCTGTCCACAGCTTGAAGGTTCTGTCGTAGGAGCAGGTGGCAATGAGCTGCCCGTCCAGGGAGATGTCCAGGCCCATCACCTTCCCCTCGTGCCCTGCCAGCGTCTTCAGAGGGGACCAGCCCGGGTGGGTCCAGATCTTGGCCGTGTTGTCGTAGGCGCCCGTGAGCAGGAAGTTCCCGTGGTTGGCTGCAGGGGAGGAGGGAAGGGGTTTCAGATAAAAACATGGCAAAGCTCAGCTCGCCAGCACGGGCCCTTCTTGCCCTGCAGGCGTGGCTGGAGCTGCTCTGGAGGGGCAGGGATCAGGAACACCGGGCACTCACGTTCGAACCTGACGCCGGTGACCAGGTTCTGGTGGGCAGGGATGGTGTAGATGCACTTCCTCTGCCGCAGGTCCCACACCTTGCAGGTGTTGTCACCGCTGCCCGTGGCCACGTGGTACCTGCCCAGGGAGGGGAGGAAGGGCAGTTTTTGGGGAGGGGGTTTTGCACCCGGAGCTCCCACGTAAACCTCACCAGCTCCTTCCTTACCCGTTTGGGGAGAAGTTAATCCCGTAGATCTCCTTCAGGTGACCTTCCAGGAACATGATGCAGCGCCCCGTGCGCAGGTCCCACACCCGGCCAAAGGCATCCAGGCCACTGGAATCACAGTCACAGGCTGGCTTGGGTTGGGAGGGAGCTTAAAGATCATCTCATTCTACTCCCCTGCCGTGGGCAGGGACACCTGCCACAATCCCAGGTTGCTCCAAGCCCCGTCCAGCCTGGCCTTGGACACTTCCAGAGATGGGAATTCCATCCCAGCCCCTCACCACCCTCACAGGGAAGAATTTCTCCATGATATCCCACCTAACCCTGCCCTCTGGCAGTGGGAAGCCATTCCTCCAGCAGAAACCTCTGGTCAGCACCAACCCCTTGGGAACACGTCCCAGCCAGCCCCAATGCCAGGCCAACCCACCCGGTGCCAGCGAGGGAGCCATCGGTGTGGAAGGCGATGTCATAGACCCCCTTGCTGTGCCCCTCCTGGTGCAGGATCTCCTCCTGGGCCTCCAGGTCCCACAGGCGCCACGAGTGGTCGTAGCTGCAGAAACGAGGCAGTTGTCAGATAAACCAGGGAGTCATTCGGGTTGGAAAAGCCCTCCAAGATCATCAAGTCCAACCATTCCCCCAGCGCTGCTGTGTTCACCACTAACCCATGTCCCCAGCTGCCACATCTCCATGGTTTTGGAGCACTTCCAGTGGTGACTCCCCCACTGCCCTGGGCAATTCGTGCCAGGGCTGGACAACCCTTTCCCTGAAGAAATTGTCCCCAATATCCAACCTAAACCTCCCTGGCACAACTCGAGGCTGTTCCCTCTGGACTCCATGTATGTCCAAGGAGAATAAAGGATATTTCACTAACTCTGGGGGCATTTGATTTCCAGCTGGGCACCAAGAGTGTCTCACACAGGGGCAGGGAAAGGAACCCGTGACCTGCTGTTACTGACACCAGCACAAGCCCAGCTGTGGTCAGGAATGGCCGAGCCCTGCCCGTGCCAGGCTCTGCTGTGGGCAAGCCCTGGCACCACTGGGCCACCAGAGGGGCAGCCCATGGTCATGCTGGAAGCAAATCCCCAGGAGTCCGTACCAGGTGGTGCCCAGGAACCTCCCCGACGGGTGCCACATCACACGGGCCACTCTCATGCTGTGTCCTTCGATGTCTGCCA